ATGAGTTTTCAGCAGCTGTAAAAGAAAGTATGCTGACAATCAAGTGTATCAGCTGCTTGCATTTGCGATTAAAAGGTACCAGTTCGAAAGATATTGCCTCTGCCCCCATCCCCCCCCCCCTATTAAACACGCCTTCTTTCAGGTTTATCCGTACCGCTTCTCGTCGATGCTCCCTAGATTTTTTGAAAGAAGAAATTCCCAAAAAATTTCTCTTCGAATGAAAGGCCTCTCGTTATTCGAATCTGAAGAACGACTTGGCTTCCTTCCCTGACCCCTCTCCCATGGTGGGTAGATAGAGGTCCACATGCTTCGGGAACCCGGGAAACTAGCGAAGGACGTTTCACTTCAACTAAACAATTAGGACACCCTCTAAACTTAGGAATCTTTCACGATCATTCTCTTTCTGTGAAGGGCTATGACAGCTGTACACACCGTGACTGAGCAGCCAAATGATATGCGAAGCAATGACGACAGATCTAGGAAGAACGGCAAATTTCATAATATTGTAGAGTACAGCTGCCACAGCGTTAGTTGAACAGATTACGATAGCTTGAGAGAAAAGCTGAAACACTATGTTATAAAAATTGAAATCAATTGAAAATTCAAAATAATTTTCTCAATTAGCCTAAGATCTAGTCACTCGGAAAAGAGACGAGTGGGTATGGCTCCGGATAAAACAGGGCACCCTCATTTGTCTACAGTTTCTAGACTGAGGTGTGCCAGTAGGATACTACATTTTGTAGGTGTTGTAATTCACTGCTCGTTCAGTGTTGAACAAGGAAGTATGAGCTAGAATCGAGCTGGGATTCTATCCTCGGACCATGCTGGCATGTGTGAAGTGCACCACTACTACCATAACATTTCCGCCGAGCTATGTTATTGTAAGGGAATCACTACTACAAAGAGCAAATGTATCAAAATCGAAAAATGAGCTGTAAGACACTTACGATTGCTTGGCCTTTGTCGATATTCGCTCTAGCAGAGCTGCTTAATCTCAGTACATGGTGACATACTACTACATATGGTAACACCAGCATAACCAAAAATGACATATTGGTAATAGTCAGTATCCATGTTCCGTAGTGCACAGATTCCTGAAAAAAAGTAATTCATTGCAAAAATCTGAGGTAATTTTTCAAACTGATTGAAATGAAAATCGAATTTCCTAGACCTAAAGGTTGAAATTGAAAGTAGGCGGGTAAGGTTTTCGTCCTGAAGCTTAGCTGACTCTGCTCAATACAAATGTAAACGGCACTAAAGTATGAAGGATGAAGTCTCTAGTGTGGACCTTCTTGTGGGATGCGCACCGCATTTGAATTTCATTCTTCAGAATGGTAGTGGTGTATTGAATGCGTACGTGGCCTATACAATAAATTTCGGTGTCTAGCCGATGTGCTTTTCTGCTCCCAGACGAGTCTGGTACCAATTAACCGGCCCCGGAGAGATGGAAGGAATGGTTGGTCTGGGCAAATTCGGTCCTCAGACTATCTGAGCGGTACGGCGTCAATTGCCCCCTCACCATTACCGTCCCTCCAGCGGTTATTGCAGTAGTTAATGCAGTAACGCTGACGTTTTGCAAAATAAAAGCGAAAAAAGGTATTTACTATTTGTCTTACCCAACTGAGGTCATCTGATATTGCAGGAAGTGCTAGAAATGTACCGAAAGTACTATTATACAGGGCAGGTCTACAGAAAAACGGCCTTATAATCATGATTAAGACACATACGACCATCCACATGTAGATCATTTTACCTGGAAAAAATATGTATTCAGTCATGATATTCATACTCTTCTTTTTGCTATTATTATGTACCTCTGAATAAAAACACTAGGTGTCTCATTGATGGAATCATTTCTACGAATCGATTGAATCCCACGGCTATACACATGAAGGTTCCCCCCATATAGGCACCTGAAGGGAAAACTTCGGATTCTGTTTCTGAAAAACTCGAGGAAAAAACGAACTCCATGCTATCTGTCCGCTGAAGTGATTGAGCCTGACATCTGTACAAAAAACAGCACCAGTCTGAAATATGACACTTGATTATGCGGGCTCCCTGAAAACTTCTCGGGTGGATAGAGGGCTGCGTTCAGACTTTGCGCTAGGACTGCCGTGTGCGATGGCCACCTCGTCCCCACAGCCAAAATGTTGGTAACGATTCGTCATAAGCTGGGCGTGTCCAGCTCATCCAGGCCGACGCAAAGCGTGAACGCGGCTAGCATGGCTAGCTCTAGCTCTCACTGTTGTATTCTAGAAATAAGACTTACATATTGGAAATAAGCAACGATCAGCGATCCGGACGTCAGGACCATGAGATCAATGAATCCATTGAAAAACATCAATCGATAGCAAGGAATCCGCAGAAGTTTTCCCCGAACCATGGCTATCATAGAAAGAATGTAAATCACCTAAAAACCCATGGGCAACTCATGGACGGCCTGCACCGAATTTTCAGGCGGCAATAATAAATGGTCACCTGAAGTAGTAATCCAAATATCAGGAAACATGCTGCCTGAGTTTCACGTACTGTGCCTCGTTGCCTCCATTCCTCTCGAGTTCTCCCACTGCAGTTGTAGTCTTTCTCGTCGAGAGTCCATGGGATATTGATGTAAACAATTTGCGCCATTCCTACAACAACAAGGTGATTCTCGAACTTCTCAAATTTCTTATGACAAAAAAAAAATTCGATAAACAACAAACAGGGTCGAGAAAACGTTTGAAAAATATCGCAGGTGAAGGGGTTGGGAAGCGCGGTTCTCATGATTTCCAACTTGGATGAAAGTAAATTGGGCTTGCCTTTTTTAGCAACGATATCTCAAAATTGGTAAAATTTCAACACTACAAGCTGACCGGTGGTGTTTTATCAATAAAAAGTCAACAGTAAACAAATAATCATACCAACAAATTAATGGCTTTTAAGAGTATTAACAATGGCTACTAACCGTATTTACGTTTAAGGCAGTGTACGAGCACAGTGCAAATTCTAAACAGAAACAGGTAAACTCAAGAAGTCAGGTAATAGCATATATGGGAAGCACCACAAAAACGAAGGAACTCCTCCGGAGCCTGTTCTAAGTTTTCCACATTCTTCTTGTCGGTTTCGACTGATTTAAGTGCATATTCCGGTCATGAGGGTTAAGGTAGGGAGTTGTCAAGTGATGTACTAACACGCACACAAGTAGTCTGGATCCATACCCCCACCACCTATGGCAGTTCCCCTCGATGTCTAATCGAGGAGGGTGGAAGCTGGAGGCGAAGGCGTGCACCTTACTTCACTTGATTCTTGTGCTCCAGACGTCGTGCAAACTGTCCGGTACCGACAAAATCGTTTTTGCCTAATCGTGTAGAAAAGGAATGGATGTTACTAAAGAGCATACTAAGCAATACGAAGACTAGGTTTGGATCGAATGAGAAGGTCTGACGTATGAAGCCACCGTCTGAACTGTGAGAAGGTGGTAAAATTGTGGTCCCAGGTGAAAAGCGTTTGTTTTGATTTAGGAAAGACTGTTGTGTTGACAGCTCGGTGGGGGGTAGTATAGGAAATCAGCTGCCAAGTAAGTCTGATGGAGGAAGTTTGCTGATGCTACCGAAATACAACTATGTAATCACTAAGAGCAATGAATTAGGTAATTCTGTATCGTTCTGGGACAAGCCGAAGCAGACAAGACCTTTCAGACATTCCATTCTCATGTTCCTGTGAATCAAGAGGTAGAAAACTACTGAATCCAGGTGAGAACAAAAAAAAAATGTCGAAATTGGTACATGAGCGATAAAAATAAGGTCAAACGACTATGTTTCCTTAGTTTTGGGGTACGGTGCTTCACTGGCTGGATAATATGGTTGGCAGATCTAAACTGCTTTTGGATAAATGTTGGAGTAGAGATTAACGCTCAAATGGAGAAAGTAAGGCGACATGTTGTTTGGAGCTCTGGAGGTACTCTGCAAGAAGAAAATTTGAAAAACGTCGTAGGCACATCATATGTACGGAAGCGATCAACCGAAGAGGATTTCTACTGTCTTATAAACAATTAGCTTGTTGAATGACTTCTCTCTTGCTACTTCGTCTTGCTTGACTTACCAGATCAAGAAGACAGTAGGCGGTGCAACTATAATTGGAAATCTTTCGAATGACGTCATACCATTAGCTACCATACCATTAGTTACGAAATGGTGTTGGTAGTAGGGATGCTACTCTACAGCCACAAGAAAAGGTGACGAGACATAGTCACGGCCGTCCTCGTCAAAGCCACGGTTATAGCAGAATTTCCTGTGAATAAACAATCCTTGGAGAGAGGATGGCTTGTGATACATTTTTTATATCTACAAATCAATCATTTAGGAGTTGTGTCATGGTATCCTTGATGTTCTTAGAATCCTACGTCTGTTTGTGAATCTTTCAGCTTCGAAACTCAGTGACATCCTGAAAAGCCGGCCGGAAACGCGAGGGTAAGGTCCAATATCTTTCGGCGTGTTCTACTGAATCTGCAACCTCCCTTGCTGGATGCTAGTCCATCCGCTTGTGGTCGCTTTCGAACTCCTGGTGCTAGCACCCTCTTACAGTGAATAGACGAAAAGGTGGGAGAATCAAAGTGTTTGAGTTGCCTCCTCACTCGGGGACGATCTTCTTACCAGCTCAGCAATGCACAGTAGTAGTTTCTTGTATTTGCAATGAACCGTTGAAATTGGCATGTTTGCTTACTTATTGTTGGCCTCCGGACACTTCTACTCCAATGTTCACTCGATCAATGTGGGAAAGTAGTTTTGAATTGTAAAGTAGGGCTTCAGTCAAGTTAGCCGAACGTCTACCACTTTGGGCTTACTCCGATCTTTCTTTCGCTTTCAAATCCTGAGCTAAAATTTTGATTTGTGTTTGTTTGAGAACTTGGGAAACTCAGAAGGCTTTCCGCCCTTCCATCAAAACACATCCATTCGTAAGTGTGTCGATGTTTTCAGGTTTTCTGTTTGTGCAGGTTGAAGGGCCCTCTTTCTAGCTGTGCGTGTTCATTTCAACAACCAATTTGAATGCTACTCATCATTTTCTTGTTGTTTATTAGGAGCAATAACGTAGGCATCGTAAAGTAAACAGTATGAACAAGCCCTTCCAGCACATCACATAGCTTGTCCCGTGTGCCCGTAAACAACTATTGGGCGACAATTAGGTTATGCTTGATATTTTGGGTCTCGGTGAGGGCACATGTTGTGCTCCCATGCTCCATCCTATTGTTGGCACATGGAACCGTTGCCCACTAGTATAAATACTACCGGAATCTGTCAAGAACAAGCAAGACAACATCCTTTCAGTTAACACTCCATTCCATTTTCAGTTGTTACGTTTTTTGGCATGGGCCACTACCTCAATACGATTATCGAGCACATTATTCTTGAAAGGTCTCACCAAACTAGATAGGCTTAAATTTATCAGTCTTTTTATCATAACTTTCACATTTAGGTTTTATTTATATATTTTATATTTATTTATCTTCTAACCAGTTATTTTACATTTATTCATGCATGTCAACATCATACAAATGTTATACAGACTGTTGATGTTACATGACCCGAAATGAAGAAAAAATCCTCAAGAAACCAGTAACGGTGAAATAAAACCCTTTCATTTCTGATGTTCAGTGCGTTTCATAGGTATACGATCACCCTCGAGTTTGGTATTTACCGAAAGCAGCGAAGCAGATATTTTTCTGGCGCCACCATTAGATGCATCACCTTCAATAACCCTCACATGCCTGCTTTGGTTTACTCAACTTTTATATTACATTTACATAGATTATTTTCGATTTTTCCACCATTTCAAAAATATGAGATCACCCCCGACAGTACGAAGATTTCGAAATCAAGTGCAGCAGAATTTGCATTTGGAGGGGTCTGTATAGGAGAGATTGTGTCACAATTATGTTTCGAAGCAATATGCACCTTTCCTCGCGGAGGTGATCTTTCCTTGGAAGATAAGCACAAAATCGAAATTTACGTGACACGGGGTACAGTACGAGGGCAGCTAGAAGGTGAATCGTGAGATCGCTCAGTTCTGTTCAAGGATATTTGAAGACTACTGGGACCCATGAGGACAGGATGCCGGCGCTGGCTATCCTCGAATGGCGAGAGGAGGATGCTTAGAAGTAATTCGGACAAAACCTTGTCGTTGAACAAATTTCGATGGGGGTTGGGTCCATCGGTGACCGAAACTACTGGATGGGGAGCCGCGAGAAAGAGCAACAGCATCGTTAGGCAGTAATGAAGAAGGCTCTGAGGCTCACCGACTACTACAGGGCTACATACACCTGATCGTGGTACATCCAGACTAGAAACGTTCAATATTGTGAACTTCACCTCATTTTGGGATCATTAAAAGGCGCTAAAAACTCGATGAAAATATTTTTCAGTAATTTCCTACTTGTTCTCCTAGTCAAAGAAGGCATTCATTTGCTATCAGGGGATTTGGGGCTGAGGATTTACTGTAATCCCCCTGCTCAGCTGGAGTGGCCACGTTGACTGCTACAGCTGCATCCAAGCAGAGTTCCACAGGATGGGCTATTTTTCCTTAGCGCTAATAGTGTTGATGAGAATCTTCATAAATGGTTTTGTGCCTTCTTTTTGCTTCGAAATGTTTCTTTTGCCCACTGTAAGACTCTAATTATATTTGCAAAGCAACAACTTCTCGGAATAGCTTCTTTTCCAGAAACAACTCTTGCAACGTAGTAGATTTTGCAACAGGTAATTTAAAAACGATTATTTTCAAAAATAGGAGAGTAAGTTGGGCAGGGTCCTCAAGTGAACAACAAACATTCAGTAAATAACGGGCCACCTCCTACTAAAATTTTTTTCTGGTTTGGCATAAGGCCAGTCTCTATCCCTAATACATCCTGAATTTCCCGACGCAGCTGGCCACTTCAGAAATTACATTATCTATTCAGAACTATTGTACCCGAGGATCGACTTTCTCTTCGAAGTATTTGGAAAGTAGTTGGCATGGGAATAGTCCCTAGAAGGATAGTCGAAAGCCATAATTTGGTCGAACCGGGATCATCCAACTCCAAATCCCCACTTCTGCAGGGTAGGAGAGACTGGGAAATGTTTGTAGCTTGTTAGATCACAGGCGACTTATTCTAGCCTCAAACTTTCAGCTTCACCTGAGTTATCTGTTCTGGTTCTATAGACCTGTATAAGGAAGAAAATGTCGTGATACTGAGCCAGTTTGAATTTTCCATGCTTTGAACTTCATGGTGAGGGTTGGCTTCTTTCCATCCCTATTCCAAAATTGCAAATCCTCGGAGACCTCTTGGTACTTATCGATGGCAGCTTTTCTATGATTATTTTTAGCCCCATACGAAGTACATATTCATGTACTTGAATGTTTTCGCACTAGTCCTCATACTTTTCGATGAGATTGGTTCTCATCTTCACTGATATTCAAAAACACTTCTATCTGCAGCATTCTATAATATATGCCTATGTGGTGGAGCCAATGTGCTCGTTCTATTTTTGTCCTCCCCTGTCAATCATCCTTTCTTTCCATCAGTTTTAAAAACGTTTAGAAGTGAGTTTGAACGTCATTCACTTCTCTGATGAATCATGGACCAGATTAAAGATATATGAAGCGTTCTGCAAAGCCAT